TCATTAAAAAAAACAATAGGCGTGAAACTCAACTCAACGAGTTGGCGACATAAGAGGCCCAATGGCAATCAACACTCGTGTTAGCACGGCGGTAACGCATTGAAGTTGCCCGGTCTGAGTGAGAGACCCGACGTCACGTTTACATGAAAGAAAAACAAGTGTTACCGCTTTCATTGACGTGATAAACGATCTTTTATTTTATCCGTGAAGTCGATAAAATGACATACTCGCAAAATACAAACAATTGAATTTTCCCGTCAATCAAGTCAAATCTATTGAAAATGAGTGTATAAAAACACAGCAATCGTGCTGAACTGCATCATTTTATGATTGTCTAGCCAGAGAGAACACCGTACTTATCTATCCAATATGCTGAAGTTCATTACGTCCAGCAAACGCAAGAAACCCAGCGAAGAGAATGAAGAAAACCACGATCCTACTAAGAAGAAAACCAGAGTAGACGTCGACGAAGATCATAAAAAAATCACCACAACAACGGAAACAGTCTTCAGGTTTCCGCAACGAATGGGTCAGAGGTCGTGAGGCGTGGCTTTACTGTCGTTATGATGAAGGGATGTTTTGCCGATTGTGTCAAAAATTCAACATGCGCCTGTTTGATCGTGATACATGGAATGTAACTGCATGTAAACGAATTCGTCTGAGTAGCATAAAGGACCAGGAGCAGACATCAGCCCATCGAGACGCCGTGAAACGTGAGATGACTTCCGCTACCAGCCAAAACATCGGCGAAGTTATTCAACCCGAAGTGAAAAAAGATGCCATCACCTCTGCGTTTAAAGTTATGTATTTCCTCGCCAAGCGTCGTATACCGCATACAACAAACTTTGAACCAGTGTTGAATTTATTATCTCAACTTGGAATGTCAGTGAAAGCAGATTTACACGTCAGTAAGAGTGTCACATATTGCAGCGAGAGATCCATGCACGAAATGATAATTATTTTATCATCAGTGCTAGAAGACAAAACAATCAACGAGTTGAAGCAGTCAGAGTTTTATTCAATTATGCTGGACGAGACCACCGATGTGAGTGTCGGCGAACAATTAACATTAAACTGTAGGTACTTGGACTCAACTGGACATTTACGTGTAAAATTTTTGAAGATGGTCGAGCCACTGAAACCAGACGCTGACAACATTCATACTGTAACACTAAATGCAGAAAACATCACCAGGCATGTGACAACGTATTTCCGGGAAAATGAACTCGATTACGAAAAATTGGTTGGCGTGGGAACAGACGGCGCCGCTGTTATGACGGCAATTTTTTTCAAGAACAGCGTCCGCGGGAAGTACATTGATACATTGATTACAAACATCGAACAACGATTCCCAGACAAAGATAGCGGTATCCTCGGACATTTTAGTATATTCAACCCCGATAGTTTACGCCGAGATAGCTCTACTACGTATGGCAACGCCGATGTGAGAGAACTGTCCCGTCATTTTCTCCAACGCGAGGAGCAGCCTGACATTACAGCAGACGCCGTGAATGAA